ATAGCCACTGCAAGCTCTACCACGCCAGTGCTCCTCTTTGCCCCAGGACCACCACCTAGAACTGTGACCCAGATCCAAGCACAGGCAAAGCAAGAGAGTCTTGCATCAGCAGAGAGATCCTTGCAACCCCCCTCTGATCAGCCACTTGATTCCCCCTCAGTCTGTGGGCCAGAAGCTCAGGTGGCAGCCACCACCCCGGGGCCGCGCTCGGGGAACAGGGCTGGAACCCCACCATGCTTCTCTCTCACCACCGCAGAAACAGACTTTTTCCCCTGACCTTCTAAGTTGTCTTTGGTGTTCATGGGTTGAGAAGTCTGGAAACTGCCACAGCTGCCCGTGATTCAGTCCTCTGACTCCTGCTCTAGGTTGGCTGTGGCCTGCTCACCCATACCAAACTGTGCTTCTCTTCCCACCCGGCGTGATATACCTTTCTGATCAACCATCCAGGTTATCTTGGGCTGGAAATTTGTTTCACTCTGTCTTTTCATGGGTTCTGCTGCTTTAGAATTTGTTTAGAGCCATTTTTATAGGTATTTGGAAGGATTTGGGGGAGAGCTCAAGCAAATCATTGCTTTTACTCTACCATCTTGGCTCTGCCCTGGAGCTTTGCATGTTGTAGACACATTGAATCTGTTGGATTTAATGAACCTTGCCCTCAAAGCTAGGGTTAAAAAAGCCCACAGATGCAGTAGATGTTCAGAAAGTTAAGATGCTTCTGGACCTAAACCTAGAGTTTCAAACTTGTTTTGGAATAGGGAGCCCCCTTTTAGTACAGAGAGGATCTTGGTATCTAAATGATCACCAGAACCAACATGACCTCTCAAGGTATTCCCTGGATTAGGGGGCTAGGGTTATTTTCACAGCTCTACCTCCAGCCATCATTGGGGAACAAGACGCTAGTGATGTAGGCACTTCCCTTTAACACCACCTGAAAAGCCAGGCCCTACTTAAGCAAGTGGATAGACAGCTCATTTTAAGAGCCATTGCTGTCACCAGAGCCTTTGGTATTTACTGAGTCAGATTCCTTCCTGTTCATAAATGAATGAATGAATGAATGAATGAATGAATGAAAATGCTTTAAAAAATTTTTTTAATGTTCCCCTGATAGTACCTACCTCTAAGGGCTGTTGTGAGGATCAAATGAGGTAATATTGTGAAGCACTTTGTAAACCTTAAAAGTGCTATATATATATATTCGTTATTACTACTACTGTTACTTGAGTTTACAGTAGCTAGGTGGCACAGTGGATGGGCAGCTAGGTGGTACAGTGGGTAGAGTGCCAAGCCTGGAGTCAGGAAGACTCATCTTGTTGAGTTCAAATCCAGTCTCAGACACTTACTAGCTGAGTGACCCTGGACAAGTCACTTAACCCTATTTGCTTCAGTTTCGTCATCTGTAAAATGAGCTGGAGAGGGAAATGGCAAATCACTCCAGTATCTTTGCCAAAAAAACCCCAGGTGAGGTCACAAAGAGTCAGATATGACTGAAATAACTGAACAACAACCAGTGTCTTTACACTGCTTTTGTCCCTTCTGCCTCTTTACATAATAATTACTGCCTCCTAAGTATTGTGCATTGGGAGAGGGATTTCCTAACAGAGTTCGCTATAATGAAATCATGAGTGTGGACCAAAACAAAAGTGTCACACATAACAGATACGCATGAGCTTCAGATGGATAAAGCACATTCCTCAATATCTTATGTGTCCCTGTAAAGTTACAAGCCAGTAACTGTTCTCTGTGTTTCGTTTAGAGCAATATTTTATTAGTGATCATTCCAGGGCCTGCTTGATCCCACCAGAAACACTCAACCTGGAAAGCTGCCTTACTCATAAGCAGTAAAGTTAAGGATGTGTTTTAAGTGTTATAAAGTGATATATATTACTGCAGGTGTCTGAGCAGTTGTGTTGGAAATAATTGTTTGGGGACGGGAAGAAACAGTTTACAAAGTGAGGATGATACCTTTAAAGGAGATTCTAAGTATTGACAGGAAGCACTGATATTGGAACAGTTGCCTGGAACATTCTCTTTTTTTTCGTCTTTTGAAGACAATTATCCTGCTTTGTATTTGCCAGTAGATGCTTGTGTGGGCAGAGATTTCCAGATATTTTGGTATTTGGGGTGTCCTCTCTCTCTCTCTCTCTCTCTCTCTCTCTCTCTCTCTGTCTCTCTCTCCCTCCGTCCCCTCTCTTTCTCTCTGTCTCTCTGTCTATCTGTCTCTGTCTATCTGTCTCTCTGTCTCTCTCTGTCTGTCTGTCTCTGTCTATCTGTCTCTCTCTGTCTGTCTGTCTCTGTCTATCTGTCTCTCTGTCTCTCTCCCCCTCTTTCTCCCCCCTCCCTTTTCTCCCTTCCTGTCCCCACCTTCCTCTTTTTCCTCCTTACCTTTTTGCCCCTCTCATCTCTCCTTCCTTATCAACGCTTCTAAGATTGTTTTTAAAAAATTGCTTTAATTGATATCTTCTGTTTCTTACATCATTATAGTTATTCCAAATAGCCCTGCCCCTCTCCTTCCAAAGGAACCATTCCATATAACAAATAGTATTTTTAAAGAGGGGAAAAATATCAGCCCAATTGATTGCTATGTTGTAAATGACCTAAAATATGTGTAATGTGTAACACCTGTGGACCTCGCACTTCTATGGAAGGGTGAATTCTGGGTGTCCTGTTTTTTCATTTCAATCCCCATAATTTTGTTACATTCATTTTTAAATTTTTTTTGATATTTTATTGTTCTTTCCATTTATGTTGTATTTTTTTCTTGGCTCTGCTTATTTTCTTTTGTATAAATTCATGCAAATCTTTCCAGACTTCTCTGTAGTTGTCATACATACCATTTCTTATAGCACAGTTATATCCCATTACATTCATGTATGCCAGTTTGTGTAGCCATTCTCCAGCTAACCACATCAACTCTTAAAAGAGGAAGTATCTTCTCCTCAATTACTAAGTAGACATACTCCAAAATGTATATTAACTGCAATGAGCAGCCAGGTGGTACAGTGATAGAATATTGGACATGTAGTCAGTGACAACTGAGTTCAAAACTCACCTTAGAAATTTACAAGCTATGTAACCCTGGGTAAGTCACTACTCTGAGCCTCAGTTTCCTAAAGGGGATAATTATAGCACCTACCCCCCAGGGTAGTTATATGAGGATCAGATAGATTATATATGTAAGAAACTTAACAAGCCTTAAAGTGCTATAGAAATACTAGCTATTACATTATTAACCCTATCATCTAAGGAACTTATATACCAAATACAGGGTGTTCTAAAAGTTAGCCTGAATGAGTAAATTACAGAAACTTTAAAAAAAAAAACCTAGTACTAATAGGATGCAGATTAAACAAAACCAAGAAAACAATATGCAAAATAGTCACAAAAATGTATAGGAAAACAGCACTAAAAGATTTTAGAATTCAGATCATGCACTGACCAATGTTCACTCCAGAAATCCGATGACAGACTATTCCTCCTTCATTTGGTAGACAGGTGCTGAAGGAGACGAGGGCCAGCGGACATGGTCAGTGTGTGGCATTGCTTTGTTTGGCTTCATTTCTTTGCTACAAGGGAGGATTCTGTTTGGTGGTGGGGACAGGGTTATTGGGAAGGGACAGATATGTTTTTAAAAACTGAAAACACCAATAAAACAAAGCATCACAATGCCTAATTTACAAGGATGGAACTTTTGTACACCTGGAAGAATCTGACTTTATGATTACAAACATCTATGCCCATAGTGTATAGTCACATTTAGGTGGGTTAGATTACTAGGATAGATTCCTGTCTGTCAGAAATGTTTAAAATACATGGCTTCTGTCAGAAATGTTTCAAATGCATGACTGGAGGCAACGGACTGGCTAAGAGTGTACAATCAATCATGCTGAGAATTATCCTTAAATATCAGTCAATCAGTAAGGATTTATTAAGCACATAATATGAACCAGTCATTGTTCTAGGTTCTGGGAATATAGGGCAAAGAAATAAACACTCCTGTCAGTGAGCTTATACAAATACATGTAAAACACATACAGCACAAAATTTGTTTGTTCACAAATACAAGGTGTCCCAGAAATCTTAGGGCAATTTTAATCTTTGCTAGCTCAACTATGGGGCAGCTAGGTAGCACAGTGGATAGAGCACTGGGCTTGGAATCAGGAAGACTGATCTTGTGAGTTCAAATTTGGCCTCAGACACTTACTAGCTGTGTGACCCTGGACAAGTCACTTAACCCTATTTACCTCAGTTTCCTTATCTGTAAAATGAGCTGGAGAAGAAAATGGCAAACCGCTGTAGTATCTTTGCCAAGAAAACCCCAAAATGGGGTCAGAAAGAGTCAGACATAACTGAACAACAACAAGCTTAAATACAAATTTAATAGCTTAAATACAAAACTTTAATAGCCTAAAAGTACACTAAAATTTTCAGGAGATCTTGTATATATGTTTTCAAAGTAGCTAAATAAACAGTAGTTTGGGAGGGGGGAGGGCACAACAGTTGGAGAGATCATGATGTTCTTGAGCTGCATCTTAAAGGAAGAGAGGGACCCTGGAGGTGTGGGGTGAAGAGGGGGTGTATTCCAAGCATATAGGACACCCAAGGCAGAAGCTCAGCTATGAGATATGGAGTGTCTTGCATGAGAACCAGAGTTAAGGCCAATTTGTCTGCATTACAGAGTAAGAGAGGGGAAGTACTGTCCCACCAGCCTTGGAAGGTAAGTCGAGGCCTGGTTGTGAAGGGCTTTAGAATCTAAGTGGAATTTATGTTTTTGTTTTAGAAGCACGACTTGGTTGATTAGAGGAGTAACATGGTCAGATCTGTGCTTCAGGAAAATTACCTTGACAGCAGTGTGTAGGATGGACTGAAGCAGAGAGACTTGAGGCGGGGACATCAATCAGTAGGCTGTTGCCATAATCTAGACAAGAAATAATGAGGGCCTGAATTAAAGTTATATGCTTTTAAAAGCCTAAAATAATTGTACATTTATTTTGCCTTTCCAGAAAGTATCTTTATGTCACGTCTTCTTTCAAAGGAGCATCAAAAAATGAAGTAAAAAAGGCAGAGGTGGCAGTAAAAATTGGTATGTGATCATCTTTGTGATATGCCTTTTTCATACTATTCCCTCCTCTACCCCTCTGCCCCCTGTTTTCATCTTTGATTTAGTTTAACTATGATTTCCTGGGGCAGAGTTTCACAGCTGCAATTTCCTCAGTGCAGATTGGTAACTCATCTGTAATTTTCAGTCTCTGAATAAATGAATGGATGGATGGATGGATGGATGGATGGATGGATGGATGGATGGATGGGTGGATAAATGGATCATGGGTGAATGAATGAACGAATGAATGCATGAAGCATTTATTAGGTATTTACTATGTGCAAAGCACCATGCTAAGTGCTAGTAAGACAGTCCTTGTTCTCTTAGAGAGCTGCATGGGGCATTGAAGCTTTAAGTGAAATATTTATCTATACATACATATATACACATACACACAAATACACAAATCACTTAAAGTTTATATATACACATGTATAAATATATATGTACATATACACGTGTATGTGTGTGAATATATATGTGTATATGTTACATGAGACTCTGCACACACACTTAGAAGATATATGTATACACACATATATATACACATATGAGATTATGTATGTATATGAGACAATATAAGTGTATCTATATGTGTATAGACACATATATGTATATATCAGCAGAAGGACTAAGACTATCCATGCTCTCTTAGTTGCATGAGTCATTGAGAGCTTTAAGTAACTTTCCCATTATCTAAAGTAACATATATGTGCATACTGTCTATATACATATATGTATATATGTTTATGTGTATGTGTGTGTATATATAATATGTGTGTGTATATATAATATGTGTGTGTATGTGTGTGTAACAGAGGAAGGACTTGAACCTTGAACCCAGGTCTTAAGGCTGGCCCCTGTATGCCAGTTTTCTTAAATGTGATTTTCCTAGAAATCCTTTGCTTATTTTTAATAAAGTATGATCCTGGGCATATTCAGTACCTTCATGTCTTTATTAAAAATATCTCTGTAGATATGAATCTAAAAAAGGTCTTCTACAGAAAAAGAATATAGATTAAAAAAACCTTTTAGAGGGAAGCCCAGCATCATAAATTTGTGCTTTGCATGTGGACGGGTGGGGCCAACATGTCCCAACAGGGGACAATATAGAGAAATAATTTTTCCCAGTAGACCAGGAGTAGAGAAGGCCCAGTCTCATAATACGTTAGCTGTGCAGAGTTAGACAAGGGGTTCACCTCTTTTATTAGTATATGTACATTCCTGCCTTATCAATAGTCACCCTCCCTGCCCCTCCCCCCCGCTTCCCATGCAAGGATGAACCCGGGAATCATGTCTTAGGAAATGGAAAGAATGAGAACTGTTAACTCTTAGAGATTTTGATCCTTATGCAAAAGTTATATAACTAATCAATAAACTTCAGGGTTTACAAAGTGCTTTGCATACACTATCTCATTTGATCTCCAAAATAACCCTATTAGATAGGTGTTATTATCCCCATTTTATAGAGAAGGAAATCAAAGACTGGGTCCCAGATCTAGTAAAAATCTGAGATAGTGTTTGAACCCAGATTTTCTAATTCCCAAGTCCAGTGTTCAATCCACTACCCCACACTCCCTTCCTGTAATCAGTAGTCCTGTATATTGCATGGAAAGTAATAGCTTCTCAAAATGTATGACATACATGATTTAAAAGAATTACATTTTTATTAAACAATCTTGTCTTCATTTTCCAGCTGAACAAATGGTAAAAGAAGCACAATTCAAAATAAACAAATCCATCCGAACTGGTTTGCCTTCTGCCAAGGTACACTATGGGAAAGATAAGCCTTTCTGAATACCAGGTGTTCAGTTTGCCTTTGAATCTTCATAATTGCCTTTTTCCCCATTTCCTTTTTAAACTTTTAACTAAAGATGAGTTTGGAAGGGTAGGGTGATTTTGACAAAGGTAATTAGAATGGATGAGCAAAGCACAAGAAATAGAGGAAGGGACCAGCGCCAGGATGTATGATAGAACAATGGAGGGAAAAGAGCCTTTGGTGAAACTAGGGAACATCTCCACTAATGGTTCGCAAGCTGAATCCTGTGAAAGAAGATAACAAAGTACCCAGCCTGCCTGGGAAAGTCCTTGAAAGTAGATAGTCAAACTACAGCTCTTCATAGATTCGAAGAAATCAGAACCCAGGAGACCTAACAAATTGTCATTTTTTTTCCCCTTCAGAATGGAATTATTTGTTGTCAGTGTAACTGTTAATAATAATGCTTCAAGTCTACACAATCCTTTTCTTTAAAGTGGCTTTACGTGATTAATGAGTAGTTTTTCTGTAACTGTGTACTTTGTCCATGAGGAAGGCAGCTTATAAATTATATAGATATTATTAACATAGAATATTAATTAATATAAATATTATTATAGAATATAATTACTATTACATTGTTACTGAGAGTACAAAGAATGTTACCTAAGGTCATTTATTGTAATATGATGATTCTTGCTGAAGAATGTGCTATATGCATTCTATAGTGATTCATTTTATCAACTTGTTGCTTTGCCTATACCCAAACATACAAAGAGAAAAGTGGGAAAACATTTCCCTTTCTCCTTCCCCCATCATTCTAAATACATCCAGCCATTTTCCCTTAAACTGACAAGGGAAAGATATAAATTTTTGGTAAAAAGAGATGGTACTTCACTGTAATAAGCAGGAGAGGAGATGGAAGAGGAGATCTTATGAATGCCCTACAGCTACATTTACAGGTGGCTTTCCTCAAATACTCTCCTTTTTTTCTTTCCTTCTTTAAGGTTAAAGGTAAAACTCCCTTATTATTATTGATTTTTTTGATGTAACCTTTTTATTTTGTTTCTAAAAAATCCAATTCCCCATGCTTCATTTATTCTAGAAGCCAGAGAAGCAGCCTGTGTTTGGATGGCCAAATGCCTCTTTCTCTTGCTTTTTCTCCTCCACCACTAGTCACTGCCATTCTGTTCTGTTCCCTGGAGGCTATTAGCACAAAAGGAGAGGTGCACAGTGATGGGGGCCTGGGAGCAGAAGTGCCATCTTTGACCACTTTTCCCTTTGTTGCTCCTGTACGCTTTGTTAATTTCCACAACATAGGAGAAGATAGCAAAGTGGATGGGCTCTCCATTTTGCACATCTACTTAATTCCTCTAGGCATGTAAGCTGTGGTTTAGTCTGAAGTATCAAATTCACCAGTCATTCCAGGGGTTTTATTCCCTTTACAATGGACTAGAGCAGGGGTGGGTAACCTGCATCCTCCAGACCACACGTGTTTCTCTAGGTCCTCAAGTGTGGCTAGAAGGCCACATGTAACCTGGAGGCCACAGATTCCCCAGCCCGGACCAGAGGAATGCCCAAGAGATAGTCTGCCTATCAAGGGGGCTGCTTCCTTCCCCCCAATTCCAACCCAGGTCCCTGGGCTTTTCTTCAGTGAGGGCAAATCAGTTATTCCCTTGTTACCTCTTTTGATTAGAGGATTTGTCCCTAAAACAGGGGAAAGAGATTTTGTCCTGTAGATGTAAATAGCAGAAGAGAAGATGATTTTTAGTATAGTGTTTAGGTCATAGTAACAGGGAAAAGGACTGAAAACAAGTGGTCTAGTGACCAAGAGGTTATGGAAGCATAGGTGAGAAGTGCCCATATACTGAAAGGGTGGGAAGGTCATAGACTTCCTGCACAGTTATCAGGGACTTCAGAGATAATTTAGTCCAGCTCTCTTATTTTACAGATTAGAAAATTGATATTCCAAGAGGTTAAGTGATTAGTCCAAGTTTACTCTGGTAATAAATAGTAGGGCTGAAACTTGAACTCTGATCCATGATACCCTACCTTCCTTAATAATAACTAACATTTATACAGCAACCCTGAGAGGTAGGTGCTATTATTACCCCCATTTTACAGATGGGGAAACCTGAGGCAAATGTAGTTAATTTCTATCAGCCTCAGCTTGGTTATCTGTAAAATGGAAGGGGCAATACCACCCCCTAGGGGGCATTGGAATGATGGGGGGGCAGTAGTAGCCTCAGGTGCAATTGTGGGGCGTTGAATAAAAATAAGGAGGTGGTGGAAGCGTAAAGAAAGAAGATAAGAATATTTTGAAAAACTGTTGGTTTTCATCTGTTGAGTTATAGAGTTAAAGTCATAGTAATTATATTATTTTCCAAATAAACACAAAAAATTCGGGTTACAACCTATCAGTGATCAAGTCCATTGACAGGTCTTAACAGGCAGGTGTTGGCAGGTAAGCATGTTATGTATTGGCGGGAAGTCCAGTATGCATCTGCAGGAATATGTACATGTAATGACTTATTTACAATATAATACTCTGCAGTTACATGATGCAGTATTGCATCATCAAAATTTCAATGCAGGAAAAAAACCACAAATTTACAAGAAATTATTAAATTTAAGATGCGTCATTTAAAAATATATTTTTTGAAATGACACAAATTTCAAAAAAAATTAAAGAGTTAAAGTAGATTTCTAGGGGGACACAGAAATTTTTTTTGAAAAGGGAATGGTAGGCCAAATAAGTTTGGGAACCTCTGGAATAGCATCTCTCTGTTAGGCTTGTGAAAATCAATGGAGATGATATTTTATAAAGCTCTTTGCAAACTTTAAAGCTAAGTAGGAATATGAGCTATGATACTATTATTTATTATTATTATTCTATTCATCCCTTTTCACTTCCTCAAATAGAATTGCTCTTTTGTAGGATATGTTAAAGAAAGCTTTGGAAGATGCAGAAGTAAAGCAGAAGATGCTTAAGGAGAAAGAAAAGTAAGGTGTCTGTCTGTCTGTGCATTATTGGAAGTCATATTTGGTTCTCTAATAGACTGGTGAAATTCTTATTGTGATGCTTTCTCCCACTTGCTGCCCAGAATAGCTCATCATATTATATGTAGCTTGGTTATGTTTCCCCAACAGTGTGATCACTGAAAAGCATTTATAAAATGCCTGCTCACATGTGAATTCTATGTAAGTGTCTCCTACTCTATACCACTGTGGTGATGAGGTGCACCTGGGCTCTTAAAGGGTCTGCCAGTGGGATGTGTGTGTGTGTGTGTGTGTGTGTGTGTGTGTGTGTGGACTCTGACAGGGCCTAAAAAGCTAGAAAGGATAGAAGGGTGTGTCTGCACACAACTGGTGGTTTCAGGACCAGCCTCAGTAAGTTCTGCCACCAGGGAATGATTTGGAGGCGAAGATTGGGAGGGGGAGGGCAATGGGGAGGGTTTAAGGCACAGAAACTCACTGGGGCATAGAGAGATTGTCATCTGGATCAGTGGAAAGAGCACTCACATTGATGAAGTCATGGATCTTTTCAAAGAACAACTTATTGCAGTGTACAAGGAGAATTATACATGTATTGTCTACAATGATGCCAAAACTCCTGAATGGGAAGGGAATAAGCACTTATTAAGCGCCAGCTATATGCCAGGCGCTGTGCTAAGCACTTTATGATTATTGTCTCATTTGATCCTTATGACAACCCTGGAAGATAGGTACTACTACGATCTCTGTTTTAGATGAGGAAACCGAGGCAGACAGAAGTTAAGTGACTTGCCTAGGGTCACACAGATAATAAGTGTCTGATGTCTGTTTTGAATTCAGGTCTTCTTGACTGTGGGCCCAGAGTTTTATTCACTGCACTACCAGCTTCCTCTGAATGGCTAAAAAGTTATTAATTCTGCCAACATTTGGATGTCTGGTTGATACAATGATGTCCACATGTTCGATTTTCTATCATCAAATTAGTGCATTGCTTCCCTTGTCTCTGAATCTTGTAGTATCATGCAAATATATCTTTTAGTATCATGCAAAAAAAACCTACAATTCTTTCTTTATTTGTTTGTTTGCAGGCAACTGGGGTTAAGTCACACAGCTAATAAGTGTCTGAGGCCAAATTTAAACTCAGGTCCTCCTGACTCCAGGGCCATTGCTCTATCCACTGTACCACCTAGCTGCCCCTCTATAGTTCATTTAAAAAAAAAAAAGCAGTTTCTGCCCTCTAGGACCTTGCAATCTTAATCAGTTAATCAATCAAATATTCTAGGCACTGTGCTAAGCACTGAATGGAGTACAGCCCAATAGATAGATTGACCGTTATTAAATGTTTAAGAATGTGCAACACCCCAAAATTAAAATAGCAAATTTTTGCATCTCCAAGATGGATTTGATCAGTAGTTTAAAGGATAGCTAGAAATGATTGCTTCATGTTATTTAAACAAAATTTGAAACATAAGATATTGTGGAGAAACTATACTGGCAAAACATAAGAACCACTGAATTTCAATTATACTTTTATGAACCAGACAAGCAAAGTGATATGATTGTTGCTTTCTGCGAAACTCAAATTCAGAAATAAACTAATGTAGTAACCTATGCACGCAGGGAAATAAATATTGAATAAATGCTACACAAATTTTTCTTGAAAGCAAGAGGTCTTTAAAGTCTTCATTTTGATGAATATGAAAGAAAAATCTTGATGATGACTATTTGGGGTCTTAATGCAGGGCATAATAGATGGTCTAACCTTTATTTTATTAAAGTACAGTGCATTATATCTGAAAATGCCAGCTGGCTTGAATTTGTTTCAAAAGCAAAATGCATTTTCATTTTGAAGGAAAGTTATGAACTCATAATAGTTTCTACAGACATTTTGCATACTGGTCAACTCTTTAGTATGAGCATCTCCTCCCAGGTAACACAGTGTTCTATGTTAGTTACTGAATTGGTCTCTCCTCTTGTCTCATGGAAGGATATGATCCAAGTCATTGAAGAGGCTTGTAAGCTGAAAGTGTGGCCAGTATACCTGAAACTTAATATGTGCATTCATTTAATAAGTAGTCTGTTGCAAATGTAAATTAATCCATATCCTTTTTTTCCAAGTCTCTTCTGAGTTGAAAGGCAACTCAGAGGCTAATCAGTTCAGCACCCAGACTCCAGCTCCACGCATGAGTTCCTTCTATATTGTCCCCAAGATGTGCTCTGTGTACTATGCTCCTCAGAGAAGCATTTGATGCTTTCTAATCAATCCCATTAATTATATGATGCTGTTGCAATATGTGGCTGCTTTTTTGAAAAGAAAGCAGGCAGAGGTGATTTTCAGTTTAATCTTTAGTGTTATATTTATGAGATATTCTAGAGGGTGTGTGTCTGTGTGTGTGTGCATTACCAGGGTTAGTTTCTTTAGTTTTCTTCTATTGAAATTTCTGTTTTAATACTAATTATTCTTAAAGGAAATTTATACTAAAACCCAATACAACAGTGATATAGCTGATGTGAGAGGAGTTAAAAATCCTTATGTCCTTATTGACATGCTTGATTAGCCTTAGATCCTAGAAAAGGTTACCAAGGGAGACTAAAAAATCTTCTTTTGTTGAGGTCTTTACCAAGATGTATTCTTGTCTGTTAGGAGTGTTTAAAATGTATCCATGATTGGAGTCAAGGGTCTAGCTGGTAACTAGAGGAAACTTTCAGGTCAGAAATCAATTCTGTGATTCTTTCTAAATTACTTAATAACCTAACCATTACTCCATGTTTATATATCAATACTTACATGAGTAAGTTAGTGTTTTAGAACTCTTGTGGACTTAGTGAATATAGGATTCTTTTGACTCACCGAGTGCTGTTGCTTTTATTATCCCTGGGCAAATCGTTTAATCTCTCTCAGAACTCAGTTTCCTTAAAGTTAAAGTAGGGGATTGGATTCATGGTCCTCCAAGATTTATTCTAGCTCTCTATTTATCTATTTACCTATCTAGCTATCTAACTATGTTTTAAATATATTTTTATTTCATTAAATATTTCTCAATTACATGTAAAATTTTTAGACAATCTTTTTTTTTTCAAAATTTGAGTTCCAAATTGTCTCTCTCCCTTCCTCCCTTTCCCAACCGTTTGAGAAAGTAAGCAGTATGATTTCAGTTGTACATGTGAAGCCATGCAAAACATATTTCCATATTAGCCATGTTGTAAAAGAAAACACACAAAAAACCCCAAGAAAAATAAAATTTTAAAAGTAGGTTCAGTATGCTGTTAGAGTTCAGTTCTCTCTCTGGAGATGGAAAGCATTTTCCATCATTTTCCATGGTCTTTTGGAATGGTTTTGGAACATTGTCTTGATCAGAGTGCTACCCAACTGTTTACGGACAATATGCAGGTACCTTAAGGATGGTATCCGAGTGTACTGGATAGTTTTTATGAAAAGCAGGGATGTGTTGTATTACCTCATTTGGGGAAGGTGGTGGTTGTTTTTTTAAAGATAAGTTAATAATGGCTTTAATAAACATGGATTTTTAAAATATCTTTGAAAACATAACTCTAGAGAACTGAGAAAACCCAAGAAGCTTTATCTGATCTTTGGAATGAACATAGAAAACAGAAGCCAAGATGGAATGTTCATTTACAGTAATAGCCGCCTGATAAAAATGCATGAGAAAGTGGGGCCACAATTGAGGCCTGGGTCTTTGTAAGTATGTTTTTGTTTTCAGACGGTGAGGGTTGAGGGGAAGGAGTAGAGAACAAGGGAAGCATTGGTGGAATTAGAGGAGTGATTAATCATAATTGTAGCAGGTGTTCACCACCCTCAAAAGATCTATTCACCTTTCCTGTCGATGCACAAACATAAATCTGCCTAATGTTATATTGACAGGACTTATGGGATTATCCCAAGGGGGTTGGAGGGAGAAAAACAAGCTCTTCTCTAGTCATTCTAATGAACAACTTGCTGTTGCTATCGTATCTTTTGTCTTACTGTGTTGTTTGCAAAAGCCCATCCCCCCTTTCCTTTTTAAATTACTAAAGGAAAATTGTGGTTTTCCTGTGCCATTCTTCTTTCTGGTGGCTGCTTATATCTTTTATGAGGGCTGCCCAAACTCATAAGATTCTCGAAGGGTCAATTCTAATCCTTTCTTATGGCTTTTTAATTCTAGCAGTTTTAACTCAATCAACAAACATTTATTAAGCACTACTATGTACCGACCACCATTAAGTACTGGAAATAAAATTAAAAATGAAATAGACCGTACACCTCAAGAAACCTACATTCTGTAGGAGGAAATGTAAATATTATAGGAGACTATTAGGTAGACATGGATATAGAAAATATACAGATACAGACATATACGATTATGTTTAGGCATATACCTAGCAGAATTGTAATGCTTTTTTTGTGAGGAAATAATGACCTTAGTTTTTAATTCCAAAAGTTTTCTCCATATGTGAAATGGAAAAATAATTCCTAATTATTTAAAAAGAGGACTTTGGTCCCATAAATCTCAAGATGATGTGTTTTTACTGTGATTGTATATTAAGTTCTTGGTTGTCTGTAGACATGTTAACAGATTTTTTCAGTTGCAAAGTGAATTCTTAAGTTTTCTCAAGGGCCTAGATTAAGCATACAAAGTGTACAGTTTTGCTTGCCACTGGAGAATTTAGGTAGAAAATTATTCTTCTCATTAGCTAAATTTCACAAAATTGTACTCATGTATTTCTTTTTCTAGGCTTGGTGCTGGTGTGGTTGGAATTGTTAATATACCCTTGGAAGTCATGGAACCATCTCATAATAAACAAGGATTCCTCAATATCAAAGAATATAACCACCTACTTAAAGTCATGGGGCTTTATTTGGTACAGTACTGGAAGGACACAGGATTCAGTAAGTATTTAACTATTATATCAAGACATTCAGATTAGGACTGATTTGTGTCTATGTGTCTACACACACACACACACACACACACACACATACTTCTTTTTTTTTTTTTTTTTTAAGATTAGGCCCTCCATCTCACCCAGTCTGGAAGTGCAATGGCTACTCACAGGCTAATCTCTCAGTACTGACTGGCACAGGAACTTTGACCTCCATTTCAGCCTGGACTAGTTTGCCCCTTGTTAGGCAACCTGGTTGTGCTTTGCTTAAGGGGGCTTCTTATACATTGGTGCTAGACTTAGGGTGGACAGCCAAGTAGCTTCATCTGCAGCTCAGAACTCCTGAGCTCAAGTGATCCACCAGTCTCAGCCTCCCCAGTAGCAAAGACCTCAGGCTTGCACCACCACTGTGGACTTCTTTAATCAGGTGACCATTAATTCATTAATTGAGGTGACCTTTTCCTATACCTCAAAGCATCCAAAGAAACTTCCCTTTACCCACAAGAGCTACAAAAAGCAGCACATTTGAAGTCAGGTGGATAATACTGAAAACAGGAAGAAGTGATAGCTGTCACTGATTGAATAATAGAAAAGTAATATAAGGAAACAATGGAAGATCCATTAAAACATTTCAGTCTGGGACCATATAGAGTAAGATAATAGCCTCTGTAGGCAGTACTTTCTTACAGTATAGGGCAATAATTGATGGACTTGCTGAAAGAAAAAATTTAACATGCCTAATATACTTAAAAAGACAGGAAGTAGATAATAACTTTAAGAGGATTTCACTCAAAATTGTACAAAATTACATACATTTGATGCACATGTAAGCTTCACTTACCTAGAAGGCTCATATATACAGAAAAGATTTATTTCCCAATGCTTGTACATATGCAGAGCTTAAACAACACAAAAATTTTATTGGCAGGGGACTTAATTGACCCTAGGAAATAGACCACAAGATATTTGCATAAAGAGCACATGTTATACTCCAGTCTTTGAGAATTTGAAGTTAAAATGTGATTTTTTTATTGTCACTTAAAATTGTCATTTTAAAACCTTATTTTTCTTTATTATTATCTATCTGAGCTTGTTCCTTGAGTATTTTCAGGAAGTGAAACAGAGAGGAAAAGGGAGCACAAATATAGAAAGAGAAATCAACAGCCAAATTGGGGTAGGGTTTGGACAAAGGGAAGAAAAGAAAGGGGACAAACCAGTTTTACTTACCAAACTTGGAAATGACATGAAATATAAAACACTTTAGGTAGCAGTTATTCAAAAAGACAGTCCCTGCCCTCAAGGAGCTTACTACCTAAAGTGGAGACAACACACAAAAGGAGGCAGGAAAGTGGGGGCAGGGGAAGGGATAAGACACAAAGGGGTACCCAGAGTAGGTGAAGTTTTCTATGGAGTTGAAACCAGGCAGGGCAGCAAATACAAGATGAAGTGAGGTGAAAGTCCAGTTTCTGCCTACTATAAAGGAAGGCATTGGGAGAAGTTGGATATTCTGTCCTCTAGCCCTCCAAAGGGTGATGAAGGTGGTGTCAATTAAGGCTTGAGTTTACAGCTGGTGGTGAGTTTAGACGTGATGAGCTTATCCTGGGAGGGGCATCTTATTCCTTGGAGTTGAAACCAGGCAGGGCAGCAGATTCAAGGTGGAGAAAAAGAAAAAAAAAAAATATATATATATATATATGTATGTATATACACACACATATAAACTTAGGAATAAATAAGGTACTAGAATAAACTCAACAATTACACTTTGGCCTTTTGGCATTAAGAGGAAAGAGAAGACAAGAAAAAATAGGTAAGAATTTTCTACATGATCTTTTCCCTTGTCATTTTTATAAAAAGGATGTCCTAGGAAATAACTAAGCATCAAAAGCTCCCTGGAAACTTAATTTAAAAAAAAAAATTCCAACTCATTAAAATTTTCATTATCCTGTCTGTACGTAATAGTGTCACACAGACTGAATCTTAACTTGTAGCTACTTTCTCCAAGTATCCATTTTTGTAACCATATCTCATTGCTCTTTATATATGCCATTCCCTTCCTAATTAACCATTCTCCTCTGTAGGTAAGAGGCATGGCACATAGTCATAGAGAGCCAGCCTTGGAGTCAGGAATTCCTGACTCGACACATACTGCCTATGTGACCTTTGTCATGTCCCTTAACCTTAGGCTGTTCTCTAAGATTCTTAAGCTGAGCTGAAGGTGCTGATTTCCATTGGTAAAGATGATTTCTCTCTAGAACTTTCCCTGCCACCATAGACATTTAGCTCTTCCTCCATTAGCAAGTTATCATCCTAATGTATGTCCTCTGTTGTACTTTTCTTCTCACTTATCTCCCTAAAAATGTTCTTTGTGATCTTTCAAAGAACAAAAAAGCCAGTTCATGTTTTTTAAGTTCTTATCACTAGACAGACTTATAATTTTTCTTTCCACTCATCACATTCTTTTTATCGTCAGTCCCTAGCTTAGTGCCTGGCACATAGTAGGCACTTAATAAAAATTTATTGATTGATTAAATAAATTTGTAAGTAAAGGACACACCTAGAAATGGGAATGAAGGGATTAGTCGAAGATTGGTGGAAGGCCTATTAAAGAAGGTTGAGGGAAAGGAATAATATTAATAATCTTAGCTAACATTTATATAATGCTTTAAGATTTGCAAGTTGTTTACATATATTATCTCTGAAAGGAGGGAAGAGAGAGCTTCCACCTTGCTTTATACCTGCATCTTACAATGTCAGCAGAACCTTAAGACTTGAATATCCAAATTGAACTAGGTAGTAGAGAGTTGAATGAATGGTCTCTATAAATAGCTGTAAGGTGATCATATCCCAGGACAAGGCCACAGAAACAACTGAGCATATGTGATGTGTAACTAATACTCACTGCCTGTGTTACAGGCCACACAATTTTAATACTGGAGATAATGAAAAGTATTTGGGTAGAATTTTTACCTTATAAATAAAAGATGCAATCTTTGTATTTGCTGTAAATCTGATCTGCTTCTGTGGAAAATTGTGTCCTGGTTTGAATCAAATCAGCAGAAAGGGAAATGTAGAGGTAATGACTTTGTATCACTTAAAAAATCTACATTTACTTCTGCCGCTGTTGATGCTAGCTGTCTCAGAAACATTTTTCTTCATCTGACCATCATTCTCTTCTCCAAGTCTGACCTCACCTCACTGCCTTTTCCTGGGGTTTTTGTAGCTCCTGGTGCCATTACAGTGAAATGAGATTATTAGGCATTGGTTGGAGGGGTGGGGAGAGACAGAAGGAAAGAAACACTAAATGAAATTTCAGTTTGAGCCAGAGCATTTATATAGGACTTCTTTGTTATGGAACTGTTCCAAGATAGAGCTGAATTAGGCTGGTGCAGTGAGGCAAAGTTTAGGGTACAGTCAGCATCATGTTTCTCAGAGTAATCTGATATTGTAGTTCAATAGTGTTTGCAAATTAAAATAATTCTGCCAATATTCAGGAATATTTATTATTCATATGTATGTGTATGTGTACATGTATATAAAACACACATATTTGCGTATTTATAAAACATCTTTTTAAAAGGGACATAACCCAATAACCAATTATAGACAGTTGCTTTGGTAGTTGATTTCTGACATTGTTTGGATTTAAGTAGATGTGATTACAGTAAAGCAAATAAGTAACCTAAAAGAAGGAGGAAGTATAAAGCTTCTCTTTTGCTTCTTTACAACTAGAGTCTCAAGCTTAAATAAGCAGAACCAAGACAAAGCAAAAAAGACAGAATTGAGCCTTTATTTCTTTCTTTTTAAGGTTTGGATGAGGAAATAATTATTTTTAACTTTTTGTCTGGTTTCCCCAATTAAAAAAAAAAGGCTGTGCCTTTTAAAAATGTGCATAGTGGTTTGTGATTCAGTTAATTTCTAGAAATCAAAAGAGTTATTTTGCTTAAAAATTCAGAGGGTAAAGGTTTAACCGAGAGGGCTCAGAGGTACAAGAAGAGAGAAATTATTAATTTTATTTATTTAATTAGGCAAAAGAACATGCTGAAGAAAACAATTTTTTTTAAACTTAAGTGGGGGGAAAGAGAAGGATCAAAGAATGGATAGGATCTCTGTACAGGCTAGTTAGGATGATGATAAATGGTTCCAGAGAGATATTGTTTAGCTGTTGTTTCTGTTCTGGCCAAGAGAATGAACAAGAAAAAAATGGCTAATAGGGAATTCATAGAATCATAGGATCATTTCTGGAGTTCCAAGGGGAACACAGAGTTCCAGCTAATCCACTCCTTCATTTTACAGTTGAGGAAGGTGAGCCCCAGTGTGGTCTAGGTCACACAGGTAACAAAGCAGAGACAGGATTTGACCCCAGGTTCTGTGACTCTGGAGCCAGGGCTCTTTTAGCTAATGTGACTGGAAGATAGCACCTGAAAGCCTTTGATGAGTTCAAGTGAGCAAGTCCAGATGAGCTCCATTCCATGGTACTCAAAGAACTGGCAGGTGTGTTTACTGAGCCCTTGTCAGTGATACCTGAAAGGTCATGTTATCATGATGGGGAATAGAGAGGAACCATGAGGTTGGAGCAGGGCAGATGTCCTTATTTTCACTAAAAGAAAAAACTAGGTCTTTCGGTTAGAGGCCAGTGAGTTTGACAACAATACCTAGCAAAATTTTAGGATGTGTTACTAAAAGGATAGTTAGTGAGCATCTAGAAAATGAAGAGGTTAACCCAAAGAACAGAAAGAGTTAACACAAGAGGGCTTCATCCAAAACAGCTCATAATAATGTAGGCTTTATTTCCTTTTATGATGAGATTGTTAGGATGATAGGTCAGAGGAATGTCAACAGATAATACAGTTAGATATGTTTCAAACAGGTTGAATGATGGGACCCAAATAGTTGTCAGTAATATTTGTTATAATTTTGAACAGATCTCCAGGGGAAGGACCTAGGGATCTGTGGTTGGTCTAGTGCTTTTAATTTTTATTAGTTACTTGGATAAAGACTTAGGTAACATCTCAGAGAGATCTACAAGAAAGAGTCAAGATTCAAAAAAATCTTGAAAACCTAGAACATTGAGCTGAATCTAGTAAGATGAAATTTAATGGGAATAAATGCAAAGTCTTACAATTAGGTTCATAAAAATTCATAGTGATAGAAGAGATATAATTAGTCAGCACTTTATTTGAAAAAGTCTTTTTTAATGGACTACAAGTTCAATTTCATGTAAGAATATAATGATGAAGAAGATGAATATCATTTTATTATTCATCAGGAAGAGGGTTATCAGTATTAGGGAAAGAATAGTACTATAGTAGCTTGCCCTGGTCAGAGAATTGTTTTCTATTTGGGGTGTCACATTTTAAGAGGGATATTGATAAGCTGGAGAGAATCCAGAGGAGGTCAGCGAGGACAGTGAAGAGTTCAAGTTTGTTCTGTGTTAGGATCACTTCAGTGAATTGGGGATGTTTATTCTGGATAAAAAGGGCAGCTAGGTGGTACAGTGGATGGAAGACAAGGCCTAGAGTCAGGAAGACTCATCTCCATGAGTTCAAATCCAGGTTCAGACACTTACGAGTTGTATGAGCTTGGACAAGTCACTTAACTCTGTTTGCCTCAATTTCCTCATCCTGTAAAATGAGCTGAAGAAGGAAATGGCAAACTACTCCATTATCTCTGCCAAGAAAACCCAAAAGGGGTCAGAGAGAATCAAACACGACTGAAAAATGACTAAACAACAACTGTGGATAAGAGAAAACTAGGAGGGGCAGCTAGGTGGCTCAGTGGATAGAGCACCAGCCCTGGATTCAGGAGGACCTGAGTTCAAATCTGGACTCAGACACATAACACTTACTAGCTGTGTGACCCTGGGCAAGTCACTTAACCCCATTTCCTAGCTAAAAAGAGAGAGAGAGAGAGAGAGAGAGAGAGAGAGAGAGAGAGAGAGAGA